CCCACAGACTCACACAGAGACCCACAGACTCACCACACAGAGACCCACAGACTCACACAGAGACCCCACAGAGACCCCACAGAGACACCCCACAGAGACCCACAGAGACCCCACAGAGACCCCACAGAGACATCCCACACAGACACTCCACAGACACTCCACAGAGACCCCACAGAGACACCCCACAGAGACCCCACAGAGACCCCACAGAGACCCCACAGAGACGAGAACCTCACCTGCGCCGACATGTTGATGGTGAGTACGCTCCAGGCGGCTGGATCGAGGCTCTGGGCGACACTCTGAGCCAGCAGAGTCTTCCCTGTGCCCACTGGCCCAACCAGCAGCACCGGCCGCTGGTTGGACACCAGCGCGCTGACCAGCATGTGGTAGCGCAGCGTGTCCACTGTGGGCACTACCAGCTTGTAGAAGGGCGTGCTGCGGTGGTGGGGAGGGTGGGTGGGGTTAGTGGGGGGGAGATTGGTGGTGTTGTTAATGTGTGTGTGTGCGCGTGTCTTTGTGTGCGTGTCTTTGCGCGCTGCGCTATGAACCTGGCGACCCGGGTTCGATTCCCGCTCGCGGCCAACACCAGTGACGATTATCTGAACCGGTCCCGGGCCTCCCCTAGGTCGACTCAGCCTCAAATGAGTACCTGGTGCGGTGTGTAAACATCGCCACTAGGGAGACAAAGGCGGTCGGGCGTGGTGCTGGCCACCCACCCCCTCGTGTACCGTTCCGGCCTTCATAGGTGCTCGCTAACAGCACTTGCCCCTACAGTCTGTTACAGGCTATATGGGGGATCTTTGTCTTTGTGTGTGTGCGTGTAGGGGGTACAGGTGGTGCATCAGCCAGTCGTCTCAGTCATCTCAGCCAGTCGGCCCGTGGCACCACCTGGGTCTGCCCCGTGACCTCCTGCCAGCGGGCGTTCGACACGTCACGTGGCCTCAAGGTGCACATGGCCTGGCACAAGCGTCGTGGTGACGTCACCGCCACTTAGTGGCGAATGGCGGTTGTTGTTGTTGTGCGTGTGAGTCTGTGTGAGTGTGAGTCTGTATGAGTGAGTGTGAGTCTGTGTGAGTGTGAGTCTGTATGAGTGTGAATCTTAATGAGTGAGTGAGTGTGAGTCTGTATGAGTGAGTGTATGAGTGAGTGTGAGTATGTACGAGTGAGTGTGAGTCTGTATGAGTGTAAGTCTGTACGAGTGAGTGAGTGTGAGTCTGTATGAGTGTGAGTCTGTATGAGTGTAAGTCTGTACGAGTGAGTGAGTGTGAGTCTGTACGAGTGAGTGAGTGTGAGTCTGTATGAGTGTGAGTCTGTATGAGTGTAAGTCTGAATGAGTGAGTAAGTGTGAGTCTGTATGAGTGAGTGAGTGTGAGTCTGTACGAGTGAGTGTGAGTCTGTATGAGTGTGAGTCTGTACGAGTGAGTGAGTGTGAGTCTGTATGAGTGTGAGTCTGTACGAGTGAGTGTATGAGTGAGTGTGAATCTGTACGAGTGAGTGAGTGTGAGTCTGTACGAGTGAGTGAGTGTATGAGTGAGTGTGAGTCTGTATGAGTGAGTGAGTGTGAGTCTGTACGAGTGAGTGAGTGTGAGTCTGTACGAGTGAGTGAGTGTATGAGTGAGTGTGAATCTGTACGAGTGAGTGAGTGTGAGTCTGTACGAGTGAGTGAGTGTATGAGTGAGTGTGAGTCTGTATGAGTGTGAGTCTGTATGAGTGTGAGTCTGTACGTGTGAGAGAGTGTGAGTCTGTACGAGTGAGTGAGTGTATGAGTGAGTGTGAGTCTGTACGAGTGAGTGAGTGTGAATCTGTATGAGTGAGTGAGTGTGAGTCTGTACGAGTGAGTGAGTCTGAGTCTGTACGAATGAGTGAGTGTGAGTCTGTACGAGTGAGTGAGTGAGTGTATGAGTGAGTGAGTGTGAGTCTGTACGAGTGAGTGAGTGTGAGTCTGTACGAGTGAGTGAGTGTATGAGTGAGTGTGAGTCTGTACGAGTGAGTGTGAGTCTGTACGAGTGAGTGAGTGTATGAGTGAGTGTGAGTCTGTACGAGTGAGTGAGTGTGAGTCTGTACGAGTGAGTGAGTGTACGAGTGAGTGAGTGTGAGTCTGTACGAGTGAGTGAGTGTACGAGTGAGTGAGTGTGAGTCTGCATGAGTGAGAGCTTCCTAGCCCATCGGATTTCCTTCCCCGGATAAACAAATCAAGATCAACATTAAAAGCGTTTGTGGCGGTGGGTGGCGGCGGGAGGTCCCTTACCTGGGCAAGTATCGCCACCCCTTGGGCAGCTTATCCTCAAACGGGGACCACTTCCTATTCTTCACATCCACGTAATATTCATAGACGGTATCCTGCAGGGGCCCAGAGTGGGAGAGAAAGGCAGGTGAGCGAAGGGGGTTCAGAGGTCGGAGTTTGCCGAACGCTCAAACCCGCTGAGATTCCGGTCCCGCGGCTCCCGCCCGGAGCGATCAAACCGGGTACCCCGGTGCGGCGCGGTGAGTCCGATGGTCTTCCCGCGCGGAGAGACGTGGGTCTCGGGCAGAGATCCTGGGGAACTCGCACGGAGAGCCGCGGGTCTCGGGCGAAGAGACGTGGGTCTCGGTCGGAGAGCCATGGGTCTCACACGGAGAGCCATGGGTCTCACATTGAGAGCCGTGGGTCTCAGGCGGAGATCCGTGGGTCTCAGGCGGAGATCCGTGGGTCTCAGGCGGAGATCCGTGGGTCTCACACAGAGAGCCGTGGGTCTCACACGGAGAGCCGTGGACTCACGCGGAGATCCGTGGACTCGCACAGAGAGCCGTGGACTCGCACAGAGAGCCATAGACTTGCAGGGAGAGAGCCATAGACGCGTACAGAGAGCCACAGACTCGCACAGAGAGCCACAGACTCCCACAGTGAGCCACAGACTCAAACAGAGACCCACAGACTCGCACAGAGACCCACAGACTCGCACAGAGAGCCATTAACTCGCACACAGAGCCACAGACTCGCACAGAGAGCCACAGACTCGCGCAGAGAGCCATAGACTCACTTTTCCTCTTTACTATTTCACATTTTTTTTAATTTTTTGACTTTTCCAGGTAAGGCCCCAATGAGCTGCTGTGTAACTTGTTTCAGAAGCGACCCTGAGCATCACCAATGACAGCAGCTCGAACGAAGTGGCGGCTCATTGCCATCACCATCACGTGGGAATGTACAGCAGTCGCCAAATACTCTCAGCGCGTGGGTGACGTTGATTCTAAATGTGCAGGGATTAAACCGGAGGACCTGGTAGAAAATCCACCTGGACCACGGGGAGAGAGAGAGATGGAACCCACGACCTCCTGCCTACCAGGCGAGGTAGTTAACATCTCCTAGCCACCGTGATGATGATGATAGAGAGACACGCAGACTCCAAATCTACAGCAGGCTTTGCCAGGGTCGGGATCGAACCCAAGTCTTCCCGCCTACCACGCGAGGTAGTCAACATATCCTAGCCACTGTGATGATGATGGTGAGAGACACGCAGACTCCAAAGACACAGCAGGCTTCGCCAGGGTCGGGATCGAACCCACGACCTCCTGTACTCCAGGCGAGGTAGTCAACATCTCGGCTGGTATACACAGCGCTCTCACTCCGAGTGGTGAAGAAAGTTCTTTATCTGGGCTGCAGCATGTTGGATCGACACTGCAGCAGCCAATAGGTCAATCCCCCTTTGTTAATTGCCTTTAATCTGGAGTGTGATCTCCCCATGCCTACCGGTTACACAGATAAACACTCACACCACCACCATCGCCACCACTCACACCACCACCACCGCCACCACTCACACCACCACCACCACTCACATCACCACCACCACCACTCACACCACCACCACCACCACCATCACCACCACCATTCACATCATCATCATCATCACCACCACTCACATCATCATCACCACTCACATCATCATCACCACCACCATCACCACTCACACCACCGCCACCATCACCACCACCACTCACATCATCATCACCACCACTCACATAATCACCACCACTCACATCACCACCACCACTCACACCACCATCACCACCACCACTACATCACCACCACCACCACTCACATCATCATCACCACCACTCACACCACCACCACCACCGCCACCACCACTCACATCATCATCACCACCACTCACACCACCACCACCACTCACACCACCACCACCACTCACACCACCACCATCACCACCACCACCACTCACACCACCACCACTCACATCACCACCACCACCACTCACATCACCACCGCCACCACCACTACTCACATCATCACCGCCACTTACCATCGCCACAACCATTGACATTGCCACTGGTCGACGTGCGTGTGTGTGCGTGCACACACACGCACACAAGCACACACACACACGCACACGTACGCACACGCACGCACACACACGCACACGCATGCACACACGCACACACACACACACACGCACGTGCACCTTGTTGGGGAAGGTGCCCTCGATCTCGCGCAGGAAGTTGTCCACCTTCTTGCGCCCCTCCTCGTCGACCGCGGCGCACAGAGACCACACGAGGCTGAAGAGGAACCACAGCTCCACCATGCGGCCCAGCCCCTCCGTGTCCGCCGGGTTCACCTACGGGGCGACGTGCGGTGCGACCAAGTGTGGGTCACGTGTGGGTCACGTGTGGGTCACGTGCGGGTCACGTGTGGGTCACGTGCGGGTGACGTGTGGGTGATGTGTGGGTGATGTGTGGGTGACGTGCGGGTGACGTGTGGGTGACGTGTGGGTGACGTGTGGGTGATGTGTGAGTGACGTGTGAGTGACGTGTGGGTGATGTGTGGGTGATGTGTGGGTGATGTGTGAGTGACGTGTGGGTGACGTTTGGGTGACGTGTGGGCGACGTGTGGGTGACGTGTGGGTCACGTGTGGGTGACGTGTGGGTGATGTGTGAGTGACGTTTGGGTGACGTGTGGGTGACGTGTGGGCGACGTGTGGGTGACGTGTAGGTGATGTGTGAGTGACGTGCGGTTGACGTGTGGGTGACGTGTGGGTGACGTTTGAGTGATGTGTGAGTGACGTGTGGGTGAGGTGTGGGTGACGTGTGGGCGACGCTTGGGTGGGTGACGTGTGGGTGACGTGTGGGTGACGTGTGGGTGACGTGTGGGTGACGTGTGGGTGACGTGTGGGTGACGTGCGGGCCACCGCATCACCCACCCCACGCCTCGCCCGGTCACCACTAGCGTCACTTGTGTCGCGAGCATTTTGTTGTTTTGTTTATCTGTTGTTGTTGTTGTCGTAACTTGCACACACACACGGTAGTGTAGGGGAGCGACACTCACGGACAGGCACACGCACACACAGACACACATACGGACACACACACACAGAGACACACACACACGGGCACACACACACACGGGCACACACAGACACACACACGCCCACGGGCACACACACACGGGCACACACACACACACGGGCACACGCACACACACACGCCCACTGGCACGCACACACGCACACACACACACACGCACACACACACACACGGGCACACGCACACACACACGCCCACTGGCACGCATACACACACACACAGGCACACACACACACGCACACGGGCACACACACACACACACGGGCACACGCACACACACACACGCGCCCACTGGCACGCATACACACACACACAGGCACACACACACACGGGCACACACACACACACACGCACACGGGCACACACACACACACGGGCACACACACACACACCCACTGGCACGCACGGCCACTTACCCCGTTGTCGGGCGTGGCGAGGGCTCCGTAGAGCTTGCACAGCGAGGCGACGGCGCCGCACTCGGGCACGGGCACGGGCTGACGGCAGGCGGCGCCCACAAAGTCGAGCGTCAGCTGCACGTAGCGCTCCACAAGCGGCCGCAGGTGCTCGGCCTCCTCCTGTGCCGGCAGGGCCGGCCGTGGTGGGGGTGGACAGAGAGGAAGCAGACATCGTCAACATCGTCAACATCGTCATCATCGTCGTCGTCGTCACGGTGGGCTAGGGAGATGTTGACTACCTCGCCTGGTGCGCAGGAGGTCGTGGGTTCGATCCCGACCCTTACGATGCCTGCTGCTGCTGTAAATGTGGAGTTTGCGTGTCTCTCTCTCTCATCATCATCATCATTATCATCACGGTGGCTAGGAGATGTTGACTACCTCGCCTGGTACGCAGGAGGTCGCGGGTTCGATCCCGACCCTGACGATGCCTGCTGCTGCTGTAAATGTGGAGTCTGCGTGTCTCTCTCTCTCATCATAACGGTGGCGAGGAGATATTGACTACCTCGCCTGGTACACAGCAGGTCGTGGGTTCGATCCCGACCCTGACGATGCCTGCTGCTGCATATTTGGAATCTGTGTGTCTCTCTCTCATCATCATCGTCACGGTGGGCTAGGGAGATGTTGACTACCTCGCCTGGTGCGCAGGAGGTCGTGGGTTCGATCCCGACCCTGACGACGCCTGCTGCTGCTGCTGTACATTTGGAGTCTGCTGCTGCTGTATATTTGGAGTCTGCTGCTGCTGCTGTATATTCGGAGTCTGCCGCTGCTGCTGTACATTTGGAGTCTGCGTGTCTCTCTCCACGTGGCCGCCTGTATTTTGTCTCCGGGTCCCTCCGGTTTTCCCCTCCACGTCGAGATTCGACGCCACCAACGCGTCGCTCGGCTCGTTTGGCCGCTGCTCTGAATGTCCCCACGTGGTGACGGTGATCCCCCCCACTTGGGCGGATCATCGATCGCGGCCACCTCCTCCCTGGGCCCTAACCCGGAGAGGGAAATAGTTTTAGCTTAAGTGGGAGGTGGCGATGGGAGGGCGAGGAGGTGACACAGAGAGGACGTGCAGGAGGAGGTGGAGGAGGAGGTGGAGGAGGAGGTGGAGGAGGAGGACGAGGATGTGGAGGAGGTGGAGGATGTGGAGGAGGAGGTGGAATATGAAGAGGATGTGGAGGAGGTGGAAGGAAAATGTGGAGGAGGTGGAGGAGGTGGAGGATGTGGAGGAGGATGTGGAGGAGGAGGTGGAGGATGTGGAGGAGGATGTGGAGTAGGTGGAGGTGGTGGAGGATGTGGAGGAGGTGGAGGATGTGGAGTAGGTGGAGGAGGTGGAGGATGTGGAGTAGGTGGAGGTGGTGGAGGATGTGGAGGAGGTGGAGGATGTGGAGTAGGTGGAGGAGGTGGAGGATGTGGAGTAGGTGGAGGAGGATGTGAAGTAGGTGGAGGTGGAGGATGTGGAGTAGGTGGAGGAGGTGGGGGATGTGGAGGATGTGGAGGATGTGGAGGAAAATGTGCAGGAGGATGTGGAGTAGGTGGAGGTGGTGGAGGATGTGGAGGAGGATGTAGAGTAGGTGGAGGTGGTGGAGGATGTGGAGGAGTAGGTGGAGTAGGTGGAGGAGGTGGAGTAGATGGACGAGGATGTGGAGGATGTTGAGGAGGTCGAGGTGGAGGAGAAGGAGGTGGAGGATGTGGATGAGCGTGGGGAGGAGTGAGGTCGGGGGGGGGAGGCACGTGGAGGGAGAGGTGGTGCAGGGAGGAGGAGGCAGAAGAGGAGGGAGCAGAAGAAGGGAGACACGCGGAGGAGAAAGAGGAGGGAGAGGGGAGGAGGAGGGAGGAGGAAGGTAAACACGCGGTACAATGACAGCAGCAGTACATTTGGAGCGGATTATGAGATGACTGAATTTGCAGATCAGTTCCGCTCCAAATTACTGTCCGTGCCTGTCGGTGCGTGCGTGTCTGTGCGTGTCTGTGCGTGTCTGTGCGTGTCTGTGCGTGCGTGTGCGTGCGTGTGTGTGCGTGCACGGTCCCATCGGTGAGCTCCTCCGGCAGGCAAGGCTGCGTTGGCTGGGTCATGTAGCCCGCATGCCCAGCCACCGCATGCCGAAACAGCTTTTGTTCGGCCGGATCGAGGTGGCTAAGCGGGCGCGGCACGGGCTAGAGAAGAGATGGAGTGATGTGGTACAGGAGGACGTGGAGCTGAGTGGACTTGCCGATGACTGGTACCAGCGGTGTCAAGATCGGCCTCTGTGGAGGAGGCTCGTGAAGGACGCTACTGGGCAGTTGGAGGCAGTCGCCCTCCAACAACAACAGAGGGCGGAGGAGCGACGCTCACAACAACGAGCGGAGCGCCGGGTGGCTAAAGCACAGCAGGTTGGCACAGTAGGGGGCACAGGTGGTGCATCAGCCACAGTCATCTCAGTCAGTCGACCCGTGGCACCTGGGTCTGCCCCGTGACCTCCTGCCAGCGGGCGTTCGACACTTCACGTGGCCTCAAGGTGCACATGGCCTGGCACAAGCGTCGTGGTGACGTCACCGCCACTTAGTGGCGAATGGCGGTTGTTGTGTTGTTGTTGTGTCTGTGTGTGTCCGTGCGTGTGCGTGCGTGTCTGTGCGTGTGCGTCTCTGTGCGTGTCCGTGCCTGTGCGTGTCCGTGCCTTTGGCCGGAGGAGGTGGATGTGGAGGAGGAGGTGGATGTGGAGGAGGTGGAGGAGGATGTGGAGTAGGTGGAGGAGGTGGAGGAGGTGGAGGAGGTGGACGAGGATGTGGAGGAGGAGGTGGAGGAGGTGGAGGTGGATGTGGAGGAGGAGGTGGAGGAGGATGTGGAGTAGGTGGAGGAGGTGGAGGATGTGGAGGAGGATGTGAAGTAGGTGGAGGTGGTGGAGGTGGAGGATGTAGTGGAGTAGGTGGAGGAGGTGGACGAGGATGTGGAGGATGTTGAGGAGGTCGAGGTGGAGGAGAAGGAGGTGGAGGATGGGGAGGAGCGAGGTCGGGGGGGGGGGGGGGGAGACACGTGGAGGGAGAGGTGGCGCAGGGAGGAGGAGGCAGAAGAGGAGGGAGCAGAAGAAGGGAGACACGAGGAGGAGAAAGAGGAGGGAGAGGGGAGGAGGAGGGAGAAGGAGAAAGAGGAGGGAGAGGGGAGGAGGAGGGAGGAGGAGAAAGAGGAGGGAGAGGGGAGGAGGAGGGAGAAGGAGAAAGAGGAGGGAGAGGGGAGGAGGAGGGAGGAGGAGAAAGAGGAGGGAGAGGGGAGGAGGAGGGAGGAGGAGAAAGAGGAGGGAGAGGGGGGGAGGAGGAGGAGGAAGGTAAACACGCGGTACAATGACAGCAGCAGTACATTTGGAGCGGATTATGAGATGACTGAATTTGCAGATCAGTTCCGCTCCAAATTACTGTCCGTGCCTGTCAGTGCGTGCGTGGCCGTGCGTGTCTGTGCGTGTCTGTGCGTGTCTGTGTGTGTGCGTGCGTGTCTGTGCGTGTGCATGCGTGTCTGTGCGTGTCTGTGCGTGTCCGTGCGCGTGCGTGTCTGTGCGTGTCTGTGTCTGTGCGTGTGCGTTCGTGTCTGTGCGTGTCCGTGCGTGCGTGTCTGTGCGTGTCTGTGCGTGTGCGTTCGTGTCTGTGCGTATCCGTGCGTGCGTGTCTGTGCGTGTCTGTGCGTGTGCGTGCGTGGCCGTGCGTGTCTGTGTGCGTGTCTGTGCGTGTGCGTGCGTGCGTGCGTGTCTGTGCGTGTCTGTGCGTGTCTCTGCGTGTGCGTGCGTGTCTGTGTGTCTGTGCGTGTCTGTGTGTGTGCGTGCGTGTCTGTGCGTGTGCGTGCGTGTCTGTGCGTGTCTGTGCGTGTCTGTGTGTGTCTGTGCGTGTCCATGCATGCGTGTCTGTGCATGTCTGTGCATGTCTGTGCGCGTGCGTGCCTGTGCGTGTGCGTGCGTGTCTGTGCGGGTGCGTGTCTGTGCGTGTCTGTGTGTGTCTGTGCGTGTGCGTTCGTGTCTGTGCGTGTCCGTGCGCGTGCGTGTCTGTGCGTGTCTGTGTGTGTGTGCGTGCGTGTCCATGCATGCGTGTCTGTGCATGTCTGTGCATGTCTGTGCGCGTGCGTGTGCGTGTCTGTGCGTGTCTGTGTGTGTGTGCGTGCGTGTCTGTGTGTGTGTGCGTGCGTGTCCATGCATGCGTGTCTGTGCATGTCTGTGCGCGTGCGTGTCTGTGCGTGTGCGTGTCCGTGTGCGTGTGCGTGCCTTTGGCCGGCCCTGCAGCCAGGATTGGACGTGCGGGCGCCATCCCAGCTGGTGGTAGTCGCTGTAGACGACGCCGCAGCGAGACAGCGTGGCGGGAGACGCCGCCGCCAGGTCCGCCACCTCGAACAGCAGCGACACCTGGGGTCAGGGGGGAGTCACGGAGGGGAGTCACGGAGGGGAGTCACGGAGGGGAGTCACGGAGGGGAGTCACGGAGGGGAGTCACGGAGGGGAGTCACGGAGAGGGAGTCACGGAGGGGAGTCACGGAGGGGAGTCACGGAGGGGAGTCACGGAGGGGAGTCACGGAGGGGAGTCACGGAGAGGGAGTCACGGAGGGGAGTGACGGAGGGGAGTCACGGAGGGGAGTCACGGAGGGGAGTCACGGAGGGGAGTCACGGAGAGGAGTCACGGAGGGGAGTCACGGAGAGGGAGTCACGGAGAGGGAGTCACGGAGGGGAGTGACGGAGGGGAGTCACGGAGGGGAGTCACGGAGGGGAGTCACGGAGAGGAGTCACGGAGAGGAGTCACGGAGGGGAGTCACGGAGGGGAGTCACGGAGGGGAGTCACGGAGGGGAGTCACGGAGAGGAGTCACGGAGGGGAGTCACGGAGGGGAGTCACGGAGGGGAGTCACGGAGAGGAGTCACGGAGGGAGTCACGGAGAGGGAGTCACGGAGAGGAGTCACGGAGGGGAGTCACGGAGGGGAGTCACGGAGGGGAGTCACGGAGGGGAGTCACGGAGGGGAGTCACGGAGGGGAGTCACGGAGGGGAGTCACGGAGGGGAGTCACGGAGAGGAGTCACGGAGAGGAGTCACGGAGGGGAGTCACGGAGGGGAGTCACGGAGGGGAGTCACGGAGGGGAGTCACGGAGGGGAGTCACGGAGGGGAGTCACGGAGGGGAGTCACGGAGGGGAGTCACGGAGGGGAGTCACGGAGGGGAGTCACGGAGGGGAGTCACGGAGAGGAGTGATGGAGAGGAGTCACGGAGGGGAGTCACGGAGAGGAGTGATGGAGAGGAGTCACGGAGGGGAGTCACGGAGGGGAGTCACGGAGGGGAGTCACGGAGAGGAGTCACGGAGGGGAGTCACGGAGAGGGAGTCACGGAGAGGAGTCACGGAGGGGAGTCACGGAGGGGAGTCACGGAGGGGAGTCACGGAGAGGAGTCACGGAGGGGAGTCACGGAGGGGAGTCACGGAGGGGAGTCACGGAGGGGAGTCACGGAGGGGAGTCACGGAGAGGAGTCACGGAGAGGAGTCACGGAGAGGAGTCACGGAGGGGAGTCACGGAGGGGAGTCACGGAGGGGGAGTCACGGAGGGGAGTCACGGAGGGGAGTCACGGAGGGGAGTCACGGAGGGGAGTCACGGAGAGAAGTCACGGAGCGGAGTCACGGAGGGGAGTCACGGAGGGGAGTCACGGAGGGGAGTCACGGAGAGGAGTGATGGAGAGGAGTCACGGAGGGGAGTCACGGAGAGGAGTGATGGAGAGGAGTCACGGAGGGGAGTCACGGAGGGGAGTCACGGAGGGGAGTCACGGAGGGGAGTCACGGAGAGGAGTCACGGAGAGGGAGTCACGGAGAGGAGTCACGGAGAGGAGTCACGGAGGGGAGTCACGGAGAGGGAGTCACGGAGGGGAGTCACGGAGGGGAGTCACGGAGGGGAGTCACGGAGAGGAGTCACGGAGGGGAGTCACGGAGGAGGAGTCACGGAGAGGGAGTCACGGAGGGGAGTCACGGAGAGGAGTCACGGAGAGGAGTCACGGAGGGGAGTCACGGAGGAGGAGTCACGGAGGGGAGTCACGGAGGGGAGTCACGGAGAGGAGTCACGGAGGGGAGTCACGGAGGGGAGTCACGGAGGGAGTCACTGGAGGGGAGTCACGGAGGGGAGTCACGGAGGGGAGTCACGGAGAGGAGTCACGGAGAGGGAGTCACGGAGGGGAGTCACGGAGGGGAGTCACGGAGGGGAGTCACGGAGAGGGAGTCACGGAGGGGAGTCACGGAGGGGAGTCACGGAGAGGAGTCACGGAGAGGAGTCACGGAGAGGGAGTCACGGAGGGGAGTCACGGAGGGGAGTCACGGAGGGGAGTCACGGAGGGGAGTCACGGAGAGAGTATGGAGAGGAGTCACGGAGAGGAGTCACGGAGGGGAGTCACGGAGGGGAGTCACGGAGAGGAGTCACGGAGGGGAGTCACGGAGAGGAGTCACGGAGGGGAGTCACGGAGGGGAGTCACGGAGAGGAGTCACGGAGAGGAGTCACGGAGGGGAGTCACGGAGAGGAGTCACGGAGGGGAGTCACGGAGGGGAGTCACGGAGGGGAGGTCACGGAGAGGAGTCACGGAGGGGAGTCACGGAGAGGAGTCACGGAGAGGAGTCACGGAGAGGAGTCACGGAGAGGAGTCACGGAGAGGGAGTCACGGAGGGGAGTCACGGAGAGGAGTCACGGAGGGGAGTCACGGAGGGGAGTGACGGAGAGGAGTCACGGAGGGGAGTCACGGAGAGGAGTCACGGAGAGTGATGGAGAGGAGTGATGGAGGGGAGTCACGGAGGGGAGTCACGGAGGGGAGTCACGGAGGGGGAGTCACGGAGGAGGAGTCACGGAGCGGAGTCACGGAGAGGAGTCACGGAGAGGAGTCACGGAGGGGAGTCACGGAGGGGAGTCACGGAGAGGAGTCACGGAGAGGAGTCACGGAGAGGGAGTCACGGAGAGGAGTCGATGGAGGGGAGTCACGGAGAGGGAGTCACGGAGGGAGTCACGGAGGAGGAGTCACGGAGAGGAGTCACGGAGAGGAGGCACGGAGGGGAGTCACGGAGGGGAGTTCACGGAGGGGGAGTCACGGAGAGGAGTCACGGAGAGGAGTCACGGAGAGGAGTCACGGAGAGGAGTCACGGAGAGGAGTCACGGAGGGGGAGTCACGGAGAGGGAGTCACGGAGGGGAGTCACGGAGGGGAGTCACGGAGGGGAGTCACGGAGAGGAGTCACGGAGAGGAGTCACGGAGAGGAGTCACGGAGGGGAGTCACGGAGAGGGAGTCACGGAGGGGGAGTCACGGATGGGGAGTCACGGAGGGGAGTCACGGAGGGGAGTCACGGAGGGGGAGTCAACGGAGAGGAGTCACGGAGGGGAGTCACGGAGGGGAGTCACGGAGGGGAGTCAGGGAGGGGAGTCACGGAGGGGAGTCACGGAGAGGAGTCACGGAGAGGAGTCACGGAGAGGAGTCACGGAGGGGAGTCACGGAGGGGAGTCACGGAGGGGGAGTCACGGAGGGGAGTCACGGAGGGGAGTCACGGAGGGGAGTCACGGAGGGGAGTCACGGAGAGAAGTCACGGAGGGGAGTCACGGAGGGGAGTCACGGAGGGGAGTCACGGAGGGGAGTCACGGAGAGGAGTCACGGAGAGGAGTGATGGAGAGGAGTCACGGAGGGGAGTCACGGAGGGGAGTCACGGAGGGGAGTCACGGAGGGGAGTCACGGAGGGGAGTCACGGGGAGGAGTCACGGAGGGGAGTCACGGAGAGGAGTCACGGAGAGGAGTGATGGAGGGGAGTCACGGAGGGGAGTCACGGAGGGGAGTCACGGAGGGGAGTCACGGAGAGGAGTCACGGAGAGGAGTGATGGAGGGGAGTCACGGAGAGGAGTCACGGAGGGGAGTCACGGAGAGGAGTCACGGAGAGGAGTGATGGAGGGGAGTCACGGAGGGGAGTCACGGAGGGGAGTCACGGAGGGGGAGTCACGGAGAGGAGTCACGGAGGGGAGTCACGGAGAGGAGTCACGGAGAGGAGTCACGGAGGGGAGTCACGGAGGGGAGTCACGGAGAGGGAGTCACGGAGGGGAGTCACGGAGGGGAGTCACGGAGAGGAGTCACGGAGAGGAGTCACGGAGAGGAGTCACGGAGAGGAGTCACGGAGAGGAGTCACGGAGAGGAGTGATGGAGGGGAGTCACGGAGGGGAGTCACGGAGGGGAGTCACGGAGGGGGAGTCACGGAGAGGAGTCACGGAGGGGAGTCACGGAGGGGAGTCACGGAGAGGGAGTCACGGAGGGAGTCACGGAGGGGAGTCACGGAGAGGAGTCACGGAGAGGAGTCACGGAGGGGAGTCACGGAGAGGAGTCACGGAGGGGAGTCACGGAAGGGAGTCACGGAGGGGGAGTCACGGAGGGGAGTCACGGAGGGGAGTCACGGAGGGGAGTCACGGAGAGGAGTCACGGAGGGGAGTCACGGAGGGGAGTCACGGAGGGGAGTCACGGAGAGGAGTCACGGAGAGGAGTGATGGAGGGGAGTCACGGAGGGGAGTCACGGAGAGGAGTCACGGAGGGGAGTCACGGAGAGGAGTCACGGAGGGGAGTCACGGAGGGGAGTCACGGAGAAGAGTCACGGAGGGGAGTCACGGAGGGGAGTCACGGAGGGGGAGTCACGGAGGGGAGTCACAGAGAGAAGTCACGGAGGGGAGTCACGGAGGGGAGTCACGGAGGGGGAGTCACGGAGGGGAGTCACGGAGAGGAGTCACGGAGGGGAGTCACGGAGAGGAGTCACGGAGGGGAGTCACGGAGGGGAGTCACGGAGGGGAGTCACGGAGGGGGAGTCACGGAGGGGAGTCACGGAGGGGAGTCACGGAGGGGGAGTCACGGAGGGGAGTCACGGAGAGGAGTCACGGAGGGGAGTCACGGAGGGGAGTCACGGAGGGGAGTCACGGAGGGGAGTCACGGAGGGGAGTCACGGAGGGGAGTCACGGAGGGATGACATTCCAAAGGGATTTCATTACGAAGGGATGACATCACGAAGGGATGACATCATGAAGGGAAGACATCACGAAGGGATGACATCACGAAGAGATGACATCACGAAGAGATGACATCACGAAGCAATGACATCACGAAGAGATGACATCATGAAGGGAAGACATCACGAAGGGATAACATCACGAAGAAATGACATCACGAAGAGATGACATCACGAAGCGATGACATCACGAAGAGATGACATCATGAAGGGATTTCATTATGAAGCGATGACATCACGAAGAGATGACATCACAAAGAGATGACATCACGAAGAAATGACATCATGAAGGAATTTCATTACGAAGAAATGACATCACGAAGAGATGACATCATGAAGGGATGACATCACGAAGAGAGGACATCACGAAGG